ATCTGAAGTACCATCTTAGTTTGCAGATGTCACTAAAGTTAAAATAGCTGTCCCTCATTAACTATTTGGCAGATTTTCAAATGCAAATACAGATTGTACTATGGTGTGCAGTAAGAGGTAATGTAACTTTAAAAGTTTTTAAAAATTGAAAGCAAATCAAGCTTCCATTCAATTCTCTGGATAAAGGTGGTGATATTACTGTTGCGGCTTTGTAGATTCCTAGACATGCAAGCTCCCATTGGGTACCCCTTAAAGTATTACCACTTCAAAAACAAAGGCAAAATACCCTTCTCTAGAGGTTATGTTTAAATGTGGAGTTGGGGAGACATTTACCACATGAAGCCAGCTGGGAATTCAGGAATTCCAGGAATTCAAAAGAGATATATTATCTCCATTTTGCTGCTACACTGTTATTGTGCAATGAAAGAAAGTTAAAGGAAAAAATAAGCAACACACTAATACCATTGCAAAAGGTGGGTAAAAATGTGTTGAGGTCCCAAACAAAATCTAACACTGAACAGGCACAAACACATTGTGACTTGCCACAATTCACCGAGGAAGCGTGTTTGGAAAAGATAACACTTTTTTAATACTGTCAAAAACATCAAAAAACCACCAGAAAACCTGAAGTAACTGTACTCCACTCTGTTTTCTCTTCAGTCAATTCTCTTCTCTTCACCAATTAATACTATGCAATTCAATTGAGTAAAGCAGTCACCAATTAAACAGTTCAGTGCTTTCTGTATGTGCAAACTTGCATTATGATTTTTTCTATTGAAAACCGCATCACAGAAAAAAAGATGGAAAGAAAGTGAGATGAAATATCTTGTATCTTTGAACTCACACCTACTTAATGAATTATTGCCTACCTAGTAGCTTTGTAACTGCTTCGCTAAAGCGCCTATGTCTGCAAGCAGCTCTTTGTTCTGGATACAAATGCTTTCTGTAATTATTTGCTGCACAACATAGATTATTGACCTTCCCATTACAACAATATGCACACAGTTTAGATGGTGATTACTGAGTAGAAAAGAGCCACTTCTAACTAATAGAACACTTAATAATCTCCACCTAATTTGAAGAAGTAGATGACCTCCTGTAGTCTTGGAATGTTATACATTAAACTAATTTCTAGTAACTGAAATTCAAGACACTATAGCATAAGTGGAATGCTTTATCCTTTTCACTTGAGACACATGTAAGTGAAAGTCAGGCTTTATAACTGATAACTGAACTTTGTTATAGATAAGGCAGGACAGTAATAATACTGGGAGTGAGTATGGGTGTCATCAGCAAGTGCATAAGGTACTGAACATTGTTTGGAAATAACCTCTTTCAAAGTCTGTGTCTGTTTCATTGGGGACATCCTGCAGAAAAGAAAATTCAAGCATGTGATTTTGTTTATGTGCACCTGTACCATATCTAAATGCAGGTGGGAAACTTTATTTTTTTATTGTTTTCCTCTGAGTAACATTCTCTGTATGGAAAGCTAGTATATTGGGGAGAAAAGCTACATTAGCCTTTTCTTCAGCACATTAACTCTGAATATATAGGTTGATTTCTATATGGCTTTGGCTTAATGGTTGTTTGGTTTCTAATCCACTTGCAGAAGGGAATATGCCAACCCAAAAAGACTGAAAAATGCTTTCATATGGCATTTTCCTTGTATAAGTCAAGAGTGGAAAACCTGAGGGCCATTTTCACCCGCTGGCATTCCCATGAGCTGTACCCTCCCCTGTTGCTAACATCCTGCATCAGTGTGTGGAAAGGGGGATTGCCTCTGATTTTCAAGAGCAAAATTCTACTGAAAGTTAAACATACAAATTTTGGTTGAAAATGAACAAAAAAGTGTGCCATTTTAACCTTATGTAGTGGTTTGCTCCCAAAATTCTGCAGCAGATCTCTTATTTTTCCTGCCTTGTGTTTTGCTGCCACCACAAATTTCAGGATAGAAGTGGCTGATGCTGTTGACAAGCCATGTCTTGGCCATTACTGGTATGCGGGTTGTGACATATACAACTACTTGTAAGGTTCTCCATACCAGTGACTCCTTTTACTAAGTTTTCTAGCATAGGGGAAGATTTTCTGTGCAGCACAGAAAAGCCATATAATCAGAAGGCGATGCTGGCATGCCAAAGGATTTTTGACAGTCTCTTCATCAGGGCTATAACAGATAGGTCATATTCAATTATAATCACTGAATGCATGTGATCTGTGAAACACGTGGGGGGACACAGGGGGACTATTTCATTACTGTTCTTAAACAAAGGAAAATCTATTTGTAGAATTCATTCTCCAAATAACCAAAATCGAAATATATTGACAAGTTATAGTCTGCCACAAAACCTAATTCAAAGAATAAGATAATGGATTTAGATACCTTTTATTTCTTATCAGCACAAAAACAAACATAGTGGGTTTAGATTTTATTAATGACATAGTTTTTTTAGAGATAAAAGTTGATTGCTTGGCAAATAGTTTAAAGTTGGAAATCCATTTCAGTTCTTTTTATAATAAGAGGTACAGTAATTTATTTCTTTGATACAGACTTTGATTTCTTTGTGAATGGAATTAGGTCCATTATGATGACTTTTTGAGTCCATACTAAGAGAAAATAGGTAACTAGTATAGCAAATAAGAAAGAAAGACCACCACTGAAAGAGAAGTACATAGAGCAGATGTGAGAGTTGTTTTGAAAGATTATAGAAAATGTTATTCTAAATTAATCATCCTTTGCTCTGAATTACTGCAGAGCTTGTATCACTCTGTGTTCAAGGAAGGCAGGAAATGTTTTGTTCTGTTAATTGCTTGTTCTAACTATTCTTGCTCTCAGAAAAAGTGTCAGTGAAGGGATTTCTGGGGAGCAGGTAAAGAAGGAATTGGAAGTTGAAGAGGATATTTGGCCTCTTCCTTGACAAAGATTAGCAAATGGGGAATCATGTTCTGATGACGAATTTGAATAAAAATTGTCTTCCTTCCGAGTTTTCATGATTTTTTAAAGACAGAAATAGAAATTCAGTATTCCATTGCTGTGACAGGAGAGAGGGCTTCTTAAGTGATCCTTTCACTTAGGCATATGCTTTCTGAGAGCCAAACTGACATGCTGTTTTTAAAGAGAGAGAGAGAGAGCGAGAGAGAGCGTATGTATTGATATAGTAAATAGCAACCATGGGGACTGATCTCTGGATCTGGACTTGGGGAGCAGGGAAGGGAAAATTTTAATCATTTGCCTCCTATTATGATACTGGCCTCTGTGAGGGGACAAAATCAGCTTTACCAGGCTTCAGAATACCCCCGACTACATCCATTTTACTTTTTGAATAGTATGGACTTGCTATTTGTATGAATGATATTAGACTTTGTTTTTATTATTTCTTCCATTTCTATACCACTGAACAGTCAAGCTGTTGGTAAATGAAAACTAGAGTTCATATATTAACCAAACAATTGGAAGAATTTTGTCCCATATTCTACTTTATGTTCACTACAAATTATTAAAGAACTTTACAAGGATAAAATCTAGAAAAAAGTAAATTTCACATAAGTAAGTCTTTTGGAATTCATAGGATCATGTACATCCCATGATTTAAAAAAAAAACTTTAAGTGTCTTGACATAATTGTAGATTAAACATTATTACAAGAATAAAAGTCAACTCTCTTAATGGTATCCACGCATCTTATTTCAAAAAGAACAAGCAGATCTGAGTGTTGATAAAAGGTGATTTGTATAAAATGATATGAATCAGAGAGGCATGTTGAGGACAGTAATCTTTTGTTTAGCTGTCAATATTTTTTTACTATTCAAAGCACAGAATCAGAGAACCAAATCAAAGAACCAAAGGCACTAATTCCTTACCATGACATATAGACCATGCTCCATTAGGTGAAACAGAGAGTTTCCTTACTAAATTCCTGAAATAGCCTATAAAGATTTCCCACCTTATTTCTAAAAGTGAGCCTACTGTTCTGGCATTAAGTTATTCATGCCTGGCGCAAATGCTTAGCAAATAACAAAGGAACCCAGAACATTCCCATTTTTATTCACAATCTATTGAACAATGGATGCTCTCACTACATCCACAGTGATTTTCTTAACAGCCACAAATAGGCTATGCTATGATAAGGTGCATCAAAATAAGTTTTAACGAACACGGTAAAGACCAGCTACATCAGTCTAGGGAGTAACTCATGAGTAAGAAGAAACAAGACAGAAGATCACAGTGATTAGCTGAGGGGCAAAAGTTGCATGACATCACTGTCTGCCTTCTAGCCAGGAAAGGAAGCAAGGGATTATCTGAAGAGTGAACATCTGGAATGTATATATAAAGCCAATGACAGATTTTCACACATACTCATTCATCGGAGTTCTGCTAGATTTTACAGTGCAATAGAAACAGTAGTCCTGTGACCTGCTTTCTCAGATTAATATTTGAAATAAGTTTAAGTAATGGTACTGATCTGGCTTGTTATCCTAACACAAGGCTCTCTCTTTTAAGAAGAAGTGACCATTATATAGGCTTGTAATTCCATTCGGTATAAGAAAAACAATTATTGTGGCACTGCCTGAAGTACAAGAAACACATAAATGCACTACTTATAATAAAAGTACAGTGGACAACTCAGAGAGAAAATTACCACATTTTCAATTTAATCATTCAGTGGGATTGCAAGGACACAAGTCAGAAGTTTTCCCCCTATTGTTAACCCTTAAAGTGTTCATATCACTAATAATATGCTTCTAAGAGTACTAGGTTACAAAATGCCTTCATTTCCCATTTTCATGATGAAGCATAACTCTTTCACACATGGAAATAAAATCATATTTTGAATGCTTCAATAGTTCAAAAAATATCCAGCAATCAAATCACAATGACCTTCCTGGTTTTTGGTAATGCAAGCTCCTTCAGTGATTATTTATGAGTCCAATAAAAATACAATTTAGAAAACCCATTTTCTTTTCTTCTCAGAGTACAAATAGTTCAAATAAAGTAATTCTTACCTTGAACTGTTAAAGTTGCTGATGCTTCTGCTTTTCCAACCATATTTTCTGCAACACATGTGTAAGAACCCATGTCTCCTGCCGTAACTTTTCGAATTTTCAAGGTGTGGTCATCACGGATTTCATATCTGAACCAGAGACAGAAACATATCAAGCTAGTTTGGTCCACTGTTGTCTCAAAGTGTAACAAGAATGACTTAACCACGAAGTGGCTATAAACTATCAAGGTTATTTCTAATAGCATCAAAAGTTTCATGTTAATTAAATGAAGAAGTATAATAGGCCTAAAGATAAAGTAAAGGTAAAGGTTTCCCCTTGATGTTAAGTCCAGTCATGTCTGACTCTAGGGGGTGGTGCTCATCTCTGTTTCCTAGCCGAGGGTGCCAGTGCTTGTCTGCAGACAGTCTTCGTGGTCATGTGGCCGGCATGACTAAACACCAAAGTGCACGGAATGTTGTTAGCTGCCCACTGAAGTGGTACCTTTTTATCTACTTGCATTTGCATGCTTTCGAACTGCAAGTTTGGCAGGAGCTGGGACAGAGCTACAGGAACTCACCCCGTTGTGCAAATTTGAACCAGCAACCTTTCGATGAACCAGCCCAGCAGCACAACAGTTTAAACCACTGTGCCACTTGCATCCCTAACATAATAGGCCTAAAGCCTCCTTTTTTAACACATTAAAACATATTATTTACTTCAATGCTTCTGTTAACATTTATTTTCTATGTTGGGAAGAGTAATGGTACTAGAAGAGGATGATGAAAAATACTACTATTTAAAATGGGTGTTGCAACTTCAATTGATTAAATATGCAGGGATACCTGTGCTGTTTCCCTCCATGTACTGGGCTGCCCCAGCAGCATGTGCAAATATAGCACATAGGGAGTTATAGTACATCATGTACATGGTCAGTGAAGAAGTGGGGAGGTGTGTGTGTGTGTGGTTTTGCACATTTACACATGGGCACAGAGTATGGCAGCAAAGGGGGGTGCTGTCCTGTTGGTCCTACAGAGCAACCTTCTTTAATGAGATAGCGGTTCTGCAGAGCAGCATCAAATCCATGAGGTGTGATGGGTATGTATGGCCATTTGGGAGGATGATGGAGGCATGTGGAAACTACTCATGAATTTTACAAATATGAACACAGGACGGAAATGACATGCCATGCTGTGAGGTAAATGCACAGCTTGCTTTACTGTTATCTGTGAACACAGCCCCCATGTGTCCTGCTTGATTATCCCTAATAAATGTTCCTTTTTGAACTTTGTAAGATGCTGAACTCCATTCAAGCTGTTGCTTTAATCCTTGGGGAATCTGTCCATCTCTGCACTGGGCATTCTCCTGCACTCATGCACATGGGCTCCTTGGGCCCTTGAAGAAGAAGGGGGCAATAGCAGGGGGCAAAGGGAAAGCACAGGAAAGGGTCCTGGTCTAGATTAGTCCTGCCCACTTGAAATTTATTTTTCCTTTCATCAGATGCTAAGGGTGTTAATGGCATTTCATCTAGTTTGATTCTCACTCAATATGGCATTCACGGTGTTTATGCTATCATAAGCTGTTACATAGTTCAAGGATTCTCTACCCAGAATTTAATGAGAAAATAAGCAAGTATCTACACAAAAGAGTGATCAACAGAAATGCAACAACTGTAATGGCAGTACTTGAAATGATTCTAGAAGCATCTCAACCTTGTACAACACTCTGTAACTGACCTTAAAGTGGCAAACCGTGCAGAAAGGAAATTCAAGAGGAAACAGGAACATGAAACTGCTGAATTTTGATTCATTAAGAGGCTCTATTCATTCACTTTTGACTTACATTGGTATGTTTTCCTAGCATTGGTTAAATTAGTCTACAAGTGATATCTATATTTATACTAACAATATTTTATTTTATATTTTTTACTTACTACTGTTAATCACTGTCTGTGCTTTCTGCTTTTCATTCCTGTCTGATCTGGTTGTTTACCACTTTCCCCAACAATCATGTAACTACAGCTATAACTCAGGATAACACTCCATGCATCTGATGGAGCAGACTGCAGTTTTTCCCTCTGGAAATTCACACACACAGTAAATCACAGGCCAATAATGCATAGACTTCTTCTAAAATATTACTGCAGTCTATTTTACCTTGCTTTAGGTAATTCTCCATCATCCTTTCGCCATCTTACTGTTGGCACTGGATCACCACGTGCTTCACAATTAAACTCTGCACTGTCATCGGCAGTTACAGCCAAATTACTCGGTCTCTTCACAAATGATGGTCTTTCTAAGAAAAACAAATGGGAAGACGATTAGAATGACGTGAAGTATTAATTTTACCATGAATAGTACTTTTCATCAATTGTTAGGAAGAGATCTTAAGCTAGCCAGTCTATCATGTCTTGGATTCTACCTACCCCTCCCCCATTTTAAAAAGGTTGTGTTATATTGACTGTTTTCTAGTACCCTGTTCTTAGCTGAGCAGCAATTTCACATTTAAATTCTGTAAGAACTCTTGAATGGGTACAGCTGCACTTAATTTTAAGTTTTTAATAAGGGTTACATAATATCTTGGCATTATGCTTTGCTTCATTTCTTCAGACTCCCTGAAAAAGTTGGTTTAAACATGAGTATCTGTCCTGCATCTTCTACACTGCGTTTTTGGGAGATTCCTTTACCATTTGGGTTCCTTTCACATTGTTATGTATGAACAAGGGAGAAGGCCTCCCCAGTGTTGTTCCCCACCTTTGGAATGCCTGTCCCATAGCCTGTTAATGTTGACTAGTTTCTCTGTTACCGGTATTCTGGACCCAGACATTTTAAGATGTTAAAACTAAAAATGCATAGTTTGCTCTGCTTCTCTTACACATCTGATTAGTGTTTATGATGTTGTTTTACTGTATTTTATTTGTGGCATATTTGAGACTACTACACATGTATCCATTATGGTGAAGGCCTGTTTATGAATACTTTTAATTAATTATAATAAATAATTGCTTCCTCTGATTCTGCTTAACCCTGGTGGCAAATCCTTGGACATGATGGTACCGAATTACAGTATACATTCTAGCTGAGCATGTATTTGAGAGATTTGACTCTCTTGACTTTCACTTTCAAATTGCTTTTCCAGTTCTCTGTTTTGATAATTTTCATTTTTTGAAACCAAAGATAATTGTGTGTGTGTTTTAGCATTTGCCAATTACATATATGTTGAACTGGATAACACTGTAGTGTCTATTTACAGCGGGTTCAACAATACCTTCATCTCACACAAGGCACTGTGCTCCATCTGGAAAGAAATCCAGGACTACCTGCCTTCTGGTTGATTCCATGAGCAACATGATCAACAGTTTTAGGACCTAGTCATTTAAAATATCCATACATTTTTCTTCTTTCTTATGATAGGAGCGTGCATTTTAAGGTCATGTTTGGTTATGGAATAGCCTTTTTTCTTACAAAAAGCAAGTTCCATTTTGAATATTCAGGGAATCCTGTGATGTGATTTTAGAGACACCTTCCTAAAAAATTTATCCCATAATGCCTTATCCTCAATCCTGCTTATTCTGTCAAGGCGGATCCTGGCTCAGCCAGCAAAATGTTGTAAGCCAGGAATAGTGACAGTGACACAACTAAGCTCACTGGAATATAAACACTTTTTAATGCTGAAGAGCTTCCTAAGCCATATACATCACACTGAGACCTCTTAAGCATCAACCTTTCATTACCTAAAACTGTGAGTTCTGCTACCTCACTCTCTCTTTCTCCCACCATGTTTGTTCCAACACAGACATATTTGCCAGCATCATTCTTTCTTGTGTAGGTGATCATCAGTTTTCCTCCTCTGATCTAGAAAAAGCAAGTATAAGAAAAAAACTTAACACTAGATTTTTCATAAATCCCTGAGGCAGGTATTAATATATTTGTATACAATACAAGAATTATACATTCAATTTAAAGAAAATATAAGAAACATTTTAAAAAGCATGAGCACCACAAAAAAACTCTTGTTAAATAAAGGGATCTAATTTTAAAGATACTGATTTAAAAATATTAAAAACATACTTGTAAGGTTGCCATTCAGCACAATCTTATCATGTATTCAAATCCTTGGACATTTTCTATACAAATATGAATCTGGTACTGAGTATAAAATATGGTAACATCAGAATCTTAGGTTTTATCATGTTTTAATGATTGTTTATATATTGTTGTCTTTCCTGCAATAAACCCAACCTGTCTTATATAATCTTCTTTATCCTCTTCATTTGTCTTCAAACAGTAAGCTTTGTGCCCAAGCAAGGAACAGAATGCGTATTTCCAGTACTCTGCTCCACACTGACTCTAAGTATGGTAATTTCTTAAGTTCTCAAGAGAGGCTGGAAAAGGCTATTCTGGTCTACCCTTATCCCTTGCAATAATCTATGTGGTTTTAACGGTTTAAGGGTTTTTTTAGTCTTCTTAAATGGAAGACTATCCAAAATTCAGGGTCAGCTCCAGGGTTGAGTGACATTGAAGGGATAAAGTGCCATTCACCAGTCTCTGTACATCAATGGGCTCTGCAGAGTAAAAGGACTGCTAGCCCACTACTGACTGTCATTTCAGTTTTTCTGCTATTTCTAATATTTTCTTCTACTGCCCCGAGGTCAAGCCTTTACCTGGCATTGCAGGGAAATATGGCCCAAAAGCACTGTTAAACACTTTCAGATCCAAGGCACAGGCCCATGACAGACAGAAACTTTCACACACATGTACAAATTTAGAATTATTAGAATTAAATTTTACAAGTATGAGCAAAAGGAACAGTGACATAAAGAGTGCAGCACTGAGCAAATAAGCTCTAACCCAACACACACTTCATAGTGATAGAACATATTTCACATGTAATGTCAACAGTTTACTTGTTAAGGATTAAGCAATAACTATACCTGTTGCAAGAGAATCACAGCATTATCATATACATTCAGCGCCCTTTCACACAACAATCCCTCTTTTTTCTTTTCTCCAGAAACCCTTCTGTCTTTCATCAGCCCCTCATAAAATCAGAATTTTTGCTTTTGCTTTTCGCAAAAGCCTGCTGGTTATAGGCAAACTTCCCTTGTCTTCTCCTCTGCATATGCTAGTTTGTGCCAACACATCATCAGGAGTCATTCAAAGAGTCTGTTTTCAATTCCAGGCCTAAATTATTGGGAAAGTATCAGTCACTGTGTACCAAGTATATTTCCTTTAGCATGTGGCTACAGTCAGTGATAAAGAGGAAAAAACACACACAGAGAAACATGATTGGACCAAATGATTGGACCAAAAGGGTTGCCAAGATCACTAGACTGGAAAGGAGTGGAAGCCTGCAGAATTATGCTCACAAATCAGAGCTTATTTCTGAGTTAACAAGCAGTGGCTGCAATCCTGGCCACAAAGGTAATTCAGGATGCAATCCTATGAATACTTTAGTAGGAGTGAGGCCCACTGAAGCAATAGGATTCATTTCTGAGTAGACAGACATAAGATGGTTTAAATAAATCATATTTATCTTTCTCCCTGCTAATTAAAACAAGAAACCCCATTTTTATTAAAGCTTATCATTCCATTACTCAGTAGCAATGACAACCGACAAACAAAATAGCCCCAGATTCCTTCCTGTGCAATTGCATGAGCCCACTTTTGGGTAGGGAAGAAAAGGAGTAAAATAAATCATCTTGTCTGTTTGTATAAAGTCAAATGCAGTTCAGAATTCCTCTTACCCACCCACCCCCCTTTTGAGAATTCCCGCAAGATTTGCTCTGGACAGACTGAGGAAGAGAAAGAAAGATCCGGATAGGGGCAGAGGAAAGAAGAATTAAAATTGAAGGGTGGGAGCAAATAATTCCCCAAGCCAAGTGGTTCCTGGGTGCCTTGGGTATGTGAGGAAGGTATTTCTGAGTTTATGAGGTGGGCTGGCTGAAAGTGCTTTCCTTATTTCTAAATGTAAAACTTTTATTAAGAACTTTGCCTGCTGACAGTGTCATGAGGCAATCTATATGCAGCCTCTCCAGCAGTCCTTGAAACATGACATCACATAGTCCTGACCTCCTTTTTATATAATTTCCTGTCTGCAGCTATATGAGAGAAGTTAAAGGTGAACTGGGCAAAATAAGTTTCCGAATTAAATCCTTTGCTATGCAAAATTATTCAGTGAGCTTCTGGAGAAGCCAAAAGTTCATGTTGGGAGCACACAATCAAATATTGTACAAAATGCCAGTATTTCAAAAGGAATAAAGAACAGCCTAGAATAAAAATATCTAATTTTCATGCAAGCCTAAACTCTTACATGGAACGTTCATAGGGTAACAACATGGAGATAGAATATTTTGGGCCCCATACTGGTTCAAAGTGGGGGATGTCATGCCCGTATACATGAGCTTCAGTGGTGATAGGTATCCATGAGGTACTTTCCTTGGTTAAGTCCTTGGGGAGTCTGTGAAGCCCCAGGATGATGGTTGTGCATCCCTGTCTTTTTTCTGATTTTGAGAAATATACAAATTATGGGGAGAGGCTGACCCCTAATTCTAAAAGCTTTCAGTCAGCAGCCCATAAATGCCTCCACACTAGCCATTCAATTTACTTTGCTTGCATACTCAGCTTTCACTCTACATGGTACAGCAATATTTAATGGAAAAGCAGAAACAGGTGGAGGAGGTTCTCCAGGTGGTCACTGTCTATAAGAAGTGGCAAATGCAAGAATGGAGTCATGGGGCTGTGTGTGTGGGGGGGGGGGGGTGAGGGTTGCTGGATTCATGTACAGAACACCTGAATACGGCTTCCAAAACCTGTAATATCTTGGGCAGAAACTCAAAAAAAAGTTCATTTTAGCCGAGTATGAAATTAGCTTATTTGCACTGGTTCTTGACCAAAATAAAATTAAAATTAAAAAGTTAGGATAAGAACATGCATTTTGGATATGTATAATACTTCTGTTCCTTTGTGCAGAGGTAGTTGGCTGCAAGGACAAGTTACAATAAAGGGATACATTAAATGTAATAGACCATTGCGAACATTTCAGTCAGGTGAGATAATTGCATGGGTTCTCATGCTCTAAGCAACATTGCATGACAGAAAGTTCTAATTTTCCCTTGAAAAAGTTATCTGTCAAAGCACCTGAATGCCTACGTGGCCCTTGAAGTAGCACCCCAGGTTTTATACATTTTCCTACTTCCATCTCATAATTTGTTTCAAAGTTAACATAGCTGTGCTCAGAGGCTTATATCCTCTGATCACAAATAAAAATAATTTAGACTGAAGTACTTGTAGTGGAAAAAGTAAGCTCCCTTTAAAGAAGCCTAATATGATCATTGGCTGGAAGAGGAATGTTCACAGTGCGTAGTGATTCAGTGAAGCTGCCTATAGCTAGATATCTATTCCTGAAAACTTGACATCTAGAGGATGATAGGACTCTTATTATCACTGCAAGACATATGCACACAAAGATGACAGTCAGTTATTGAGATAGATGAGCATGCACATAACATAGAATGCATTGCATACAAATGTCACTTTCTTGCCTTTGGCACAGATTGTATGAGCACAAAAAAGGATGTGTTCTATCATTTATAAAACTAGCAGTGCAGAAATTCCAAGGGAGATTTGAGACAGGGAAAATGGAATATTAAATAGGACTATCCCATCTCTTTCAATTGTCTTTGTTTTCTCTCTGTTATATCATTACATAACTAAATTTGATTGGTTACATAGTATTATGACATCCTGTTCACTGTCTGTGACCCCTGATTGGTTGATGTCATTATTTTATCATCTAATAATCCATATAATAATGTGGTAAAGGGGGAAAATGACTCTGAACAGAACTGGGAAACCACTGAACAGAATTGGGAAAATACAAATACAATAAAAATATATTTGGGGAAATATTTACACGAACACATATACTACTATCTTTGCTGCATTAATTGGGATAATCAACTTCAGCTGCTGGATGCTATAGAAATTGATTGATTGATTAATTAATGGTTTTAATATGTTAACATTCATACCAATGCAACTATAGTTTTCTCTAAATGATATAAAATCAAAGAAAACTCTGCAGTTGCTTTAATGATTGAAGTCTCTGTTTAAGCAGAATTCACTGATATCTAATCTAAACATCGTAACTTGAATCCATTCGGTTTGATTCAAAATAAAGGGGCAATCCTATGTATGTTTAGACAAGAAAAAAGTCCTGCAACTCTAAGCATTCCTTAACTAGCATGGCTAGCTGGTGAATGATGGGAGTTGTAGGAATTTTTTTGCTTTAAACATGAATAGGATTGTGTCCTAAGTTAGTTGAACTTAGGTCCTATTATGCTTGGGTTCTCCCAACCATGATTTTAGTCACCTGATTTCAAGGAGGTTCATTTTACTACTGGGTAAAATGGGTAATATATTGGAATTGGGTAACTACTGGGTAATATATTGGAATTTGTTTTGGGAATGCAGAGTTAATGTTGACCATTTTCCTAGTTTTTTTTTATATAGCTGAAGTATTAAAGAAATTTGCACGGGGGTGGTGGGGGGTGGTAGTCTCTTGCCTGTAGTACCAGCAAAATGGAAAACAATAACCTTTGTGATATGACATGCTCAAGCAAGCAAGCAATAAGTAATTACAATTTAATTATAACTAAAATGAGATAAGCATAATACTTTTGAAATGGGCTCATAAACAGCATCCTGAGGGAATTGCAAGGGTCAGTGTCAGTGTCCCCAGGTGCAATACCAGTAGTGCAAGTGATCTGACATGTTTACTTGGAAAGCCTGCTGCATCGAAATTTGCAATTGGTGTCGTACAAGAAGTTGCTTGCTGTTGCTTAATTGCACAT